CTTAAATTGAAACTTCTTTATCAGGATTTTTTTCTTTAATGATTAATTTTTATTTATTTTCTCTTTTTGTTTCGTTTATTTTTCTTATTTTCCATTTCGCTTTTCAGTTTCTGTGTTCGGTTTTGGTTTTATTTCTTTTTGTAGATTAATAAATTTTTGGGGGATTTGATTAAATTGTTCGGTTGTCTTTTCTAGTTTCACTTGCATTCTTAACTGTTGTCCGTTTTATTTTAGTTTATTTTTTGTGAAAGTTTTTAGAATTTAAGTTTTTTTTTTTATTTTATTTATATTGCAGTTTTGTTGCTAGTTAATTTAGATTTTTTACGTGTTAATGGAAATGGTGTTTAAAAAATTCGTCACAAAAGATAATGCATTTGTAAATAACTTTTTTTCTAAATTAATGGAAGTTATTTTTTTTATTTTTTTTTTTTTTTGCCTTAGGAAATACTTAAAAAATTAAATTTGATTTCATTTTTCAATTAAATTATTGACACTTGATTTGGTTTGCTAATATAATACTGATTTTGCAAAACAAATTAAACTGTCTGCCTTGTTTCCCAGTTAATGACTTTTTTTAAAATTTGCATTTTAATGTTTTTTTGTTGTTTCTTGGAATTAAAACATTTAAGCCAAGTTAAAATAAATTGTTTGTTAATTATATATAATATTTGTAAACCACACAAAAATTATAAAAATTCCAATACAATATAAAAAAGCATTTTGGTTTAAAATATATTCAGCTTCAATCCAATTCGTTTTTCTACATTAATTATATATGGTTTTTAATTAAATTTCTTTTCTTGGCTCTTGTTTTTTGACACATATTGAACATTTTGAATGCTTTTTTCATTTCACTTTCATTCTGGCATCATTAGTTATAACAGGAAAAAGGTACAAGTTCTTATAATAAGAATGATTACTTAAATTTGTTAATATATTTTTTTCACTTTTTTTAATAAACGTTTGTTTGTTTTTATTCTTTTGTTAATTTGCCACTTGCTTTTGGGTTCTATAACATTTATAATTAAACCTTCATTTCGTTTGTTCGGTTTTTAATTTTTAAATATATAATTTCTTGATTTGTATATAATCTAAAATTTGGCACTAAATCCTAACTAATTGTAGTACTCGTTTTGAGGGGTGTTGGAGGGGGGAGTGGTTGTTGGGGAAGGATTTGTTATAAAATTTCTTAAAATTCTATGTATGGAAGTCTTCTATGTTTACAAGATATTAAATACGACTTCTATATTTTGTACACCCTCTAGAGGACTTCTATTTATAGAAGATCCTCAGGAGGTATTTTACGAATAGAAATCTCTCCAGAAGTCTTGAATATTCAAATTTGATATATTCATATTTGAATATCCAATCATGAATAATTATTCCGCACGGAATTTTTCCCATTTTCACTTTTTTTACCCAAAAAATAATTCCGAAGGAGATATTAGATATCATGATCGCGGCTTAACTCTATTATTTTTATTATCCCTGATCCCGGAAACATTTTTTTTCTTGGAGGACGGACCCGGGACCCCAGATTTTTGACCCGAAAGTCCGGGTTCAAGACCCCGACTAGACCCGGATCCACTTACCAGATATAGACAATATAGGTATCGTTGGAAAGCTTATGAAAATACCTATCCAACACTTTTTCGACTTTTTGGGGTTTTTATAAAAAAATTGGGTGCAAAAAATCAATAATTTGACTATAACTTCCGAACCATAACTTATAACTTCCGGGTCCAAAAAATAATTTGACTATAACTATATCGAGTAAGTAGATCCGGGTCCAGGCCGGGCCTTGAACCCGGACTTTCGGTCCCGGGCCGCCCGCCAAGAAGAAAATAGTTTGCCGGAATCAGGGTAAAAATAACTACATCTGGAAAAAAATTCGAAAAAATTGTAGGGTTATTCTAAACTAGAGTTGTTCCAAGATCGCTTTCAAAATTGTATTTTTTCCACGTTATATAGGTGTAGTGTTTATTATTTTTGCATTTTATTGAATAAATTGCTTTAAAGTGACCGAGAAATATTGGTAAAATTCGCCGTTCATGATTACTCTTTCAAGCTTCTATATATATTCTACATACATAAGACCCCTAAAATGGAAAATTAATTGTTTCAAGTCGCTTAATTGTTATACAAAATGCAAAACAAAAGAGCACTTCAAACTTTGCATCAATTGCATATGCAACATAGGTTACACAAGGTACGAAAAAGACCCATTCGCGTTGCCATCTTCACTAATTATTTTTCCTCAATTATTGGTGGATTTGTTTGAAGGATTTGTCTCTTTAGAAAAAAATGCATTCCGTGGGAAAGAATTCAAAAACCAACACCATCCGCCCCTCGTTAACCCCATTTAGAGTAATTTCATTTTTCTTTTTGTTGTGGTTTTTGTTATTTGGTTTGTAAATGTAATAATCTACAAAGAAGAGTTTTGGTTTTCTGTTTTTTTTTGTAAATTTGTTAAAATTAAAATCTAAATGCAAGTTTTGTTTTCGAATTTCGTTTTTTTTTTTCATTCATACTTCACCTTTTTAGATTTCTAACATTCAACTTAGACTCATAAAAACTAAAAGACACAACTAAATTATAAATACTATTTATGACTAAATAAATATACACAGACACATATTTATAATTAAATTAATTAGTTTGATTATATGTAGGAAGATTTGAAAGATTTTGATTATAATTGATAAATTAAGTTATTATATTAATAGGTAGGAAATTAATTGAGTATACACAATTTTTGATTACATATATATTTTTTTTAAATATTGTAATATTAAATTTAATAAAATTAACCTTAAAGAATTTTGATTTATTAAAGATATTTTTGATTTGTTAAAATGGAAACTATATTTTTGCCAATCGTGAAATTGAATTGTTTATTATAATTGTAAGCAGTTTTAGTAGAAACTAAATAAATGTTTAAATAAGAACTAAAATAATACACAGTGCTTTGTTATTGAATATTAATATAAAGATTCATGTAAAATTTTTGAAATTCGAAGGATAATTCTACCCTCAGTCATAAGAGGGTATATATCATTTGATACGCGCAAAATGTGCCTCATCGAAATAATGGTTTTAGACCGTAATGGGACTGCGGAATGATTTCGCATTTTATGAGGGTTATGTTGACCCTTTGTGCGACAGGTACCAGAAGGAGTCGATCGACACATCTTCATGCGAGATCCAATGGCAACTTATTGGGATATGTGAAGCTTGAAGAAAATTTCTTGAGAATTATTGGCATTTAAAATGTTGACCCTTTGGGTGGAGGTACGAGAAGCAGTAGACCAATATTTGCCATGTTCGCCCCAGACCTGAGTCTAAAATGGATATTACCACGGAAAAAGTTCGAGCTATATTAAGTACTCGATTCGTTTTAAAAAATATATGAGATATTAATGACTTTTGACTTTTTGACGTAGACAATTTTCACAATTTGGCAGAACAATTTGTATTGTATCTAGGATGGTTGGTATTGAAAATGAGATATATCGGTCCACGTTTTGGAATAGTCGCCATATAACGGTACCTCCAGATATTCGGCATTTTGATGATTTTCGCCACATTTTTGCACTGTTTTGTATAAAAATTGGTATCTGTAGGTCTTAATGGGTTCTACCTCCGATGGCAAAATATAGTATGTGTGGGTCCATGTTTTTGTATAGCTCCCATGTAACGGTACCTCCCGATATTCGGTATTTTGATGATTTTCGCCACACTTTTCCATGGATTTATCCAAAAATTGTTATTTGTAGTTCGTAATGGGTTCTAGCTCCGGTGGCGAAACATTGTATTGCCCACGTTTTTGTATAACTTATATATGACGGTACCTCCCGATAGTTGGTGTTTTGATGGTTTGTGCTACATTTGGATTTGTCCAAAAATTGGTATTTCTACGTCATAATGTGTTCTAGTTACGGCGGCAGAACATTGAAAATTTAGGTCCACGTTTTCCTTTAGCACACGTATAACGATACCCACCGATACTCGGTATTTCGATAATCCTAGTCACATTTATCAACAAAATTGTTTCAAATTTGGTATGTAAGACGATTTGATGGTAGATGACAATCCTTGTAGTATGGAGGTTCCCGTTTTGGTATGGGCCCCATGTAAAGGTCTCACCAACTATATGGTATTTGGAAAAGTTTAACAGCATTATCCAAACGGTCTTACTGGTATTTATAGTTTAAAGTGGAACACATGTGAATTCAGATACTTTTATATAAAAATGTTTTTTTTTTTACCCACAGGTGCAGGGTATAAAAAATCGACCCGGCGAATTTAATGTTTTTTGTTTGTTTCAATGTAAAATAAATTTTGGAAATATTTGACTTTATAGTCCATAATCCCTTTAGAATTTGGATATTTTCACCAATATGTCTTGATAGAGATGCATGGAGAGACCCGGGCCTACTCCGAAAAGGTTTCTATTCTGACATTAATAGCACCTGTTTCTACGAATTTTTTGTTTTTTTTTTTTACTGGTTGGGCGCCACCTCCCCACAAAATGGTTTCGAAACGTATTTCTATGTGGGTTCGTGTGCCTAGATATGGACCACTTAGACCTATATATTAACATTCAAAATTGATAGCACTCGTGACTTTATGTGTATGGATAGGATAGAAGTAATAGATTTCCATCTAAGGACAATGTCCCTTATTAAAGAGCAAAAAAAGGCAAATAACAATTTTAAAATATTTTAACTTAAATTTATGTAAATAAATTAATACAAATATATATATAAAAGAAAAAAAAAAAAAATAAAAATAATAATAAACTCAATATTGCAAAAAAATTGAAAATATGTAAATTTGGAGGACAGAAGTAATAGATTTTCATCTAAGGACAATAACACTTATTAAAGATACATAAAAAAATTAACATTTTAAAATTATTTTAACTTAAATTTATATAAATAAAAAAAGTTCAATAATAATAATTGAAAATAATAATAATTTTTTTTCTTTTTCTTATAATTTACGTTTTGCTTTGTGGTTTCGAACACCCTCTCCTTTCCTTTTTTCTTCTTCAATTTTGTTATTTGTCATAGTTGTTATGTTTCTTATTTCATTTCACTTCTTTCATTTAATTTTTGTTTTCTTTTCTTTTGACTAAACCTAAAATAACATTAGTTTCTCATTTTTTTTGTTGTTGTTGAGTTTTAAATAATTATCCTTTTTAAGTTTTGTTGTTTGTTTTTGTTTTAATATAAGTTCATTTTCTTCTTTGTTTTTGTTTTTTCCTCTTCTTCTTCGTCTTTTCATAATTCTCATTATTCGATGAATAAACAGTGCATTATATGTTTGTGTGTTTGTTGTTAAAATTATTTCACTTGAAAATAATTTTTGTAATTTTTCAACATTATTATTATTATGGGAACAAATTTGATGTTAATTTTTTGTTGTTATTGTTATTTATTTTATAAATAGATAACGCAACCTAATTAAATATTTCTTCTTTTTTTGTTCTTCTCTGTCATCTTGATTTAATTTTTAAATTATTTAGAATATTATCAGTTGTTTTTCCATTAAATATTTAATTTTCATTTTTCATTGGATTTTAACCTACGCAGACAACGCTACTTTAAAATTGGTGTGTATGTGTGTGTGAGTGTGTGTATGCAAGTTGGTTGTAGTTGTTTGTGTTTTATTTGTTGTTATTATTGTGTAAATTTATTAGTGATGCATTTGAAGTTTCAAAATTTCTTGTGAATATATTATGATCGCAATTTTATCTTATTAGAGTAGTGAGAGAAGATCCCCGGAGGGGCAAGGTGATTCAAGCGGATGTTATCTCGAAAAAAATGAAAAAACAGCAACCAACTTCAGACTGCTGTCATTTCTAAGCCACTCATCCGACAGCTTTCATTCAAAAAAATTAAAAAAAAGAAATGTAAAAATTATGGCGTTTGACTTTGTTGCAGTTTTTTTATCTATATATATTAAATATTTTTTATTTAATTTATATTAAAATATTTATTTTAAAATCGATTTCTTAATCGATTTAAAAAAATGTATTTTTCAAGAGAAATCCCCTCAAATCTTATCTCGCACCCTTGGAACTCTCTCTCTCTCTCTCTCTCTCTCTCTCTCTCTATTTATTTTCATATATTTGTTGACAACACACATGTATTTTCTCGAGTGTATAATTTTTTTTATTCTATTTTCATTGATTATTGTAGACCTCGGTATAGTTGTTTTCTTTATGGATTTCCAAAGGGAATACTATTTTTTTCGTTATGTTCAAAGTTTAAAAATATCAATAATTATTTTTCTTTTATTTATTTATTAAAAAAAGGTTTAAATGTTTAGACTATTTCCTTTTCGATTTTCTTAATATTTGTTTAAAACTTTTTGTTTGGTTATAAGTTTTCGTTTTGTTGTTTGTTTTGGTTTTGTTTTTTTTTTTTTATTTCAAGAGGAATGAAAATCAGTCTCAAAGAAATTAAACATTTTATTTTGGTTGGGAATTAAAAAGGAATTGTTGTTGTTGTCGTCATTCACAAAATTGTAATATTGTTCCATTTGTTAAGTAGTTTTTTTCATTTGTTGTTTATTTATTATTAAATAAAATTATTTGTTCTTAATGTTGACCATCAGTAGAATAAATCTAGACATATAGCATCCTTGTTTTCCTTGGAAGATTTGAAGTAGAAATTGGGAATATTTTTATTTAATTTTTTTTATTCGTTTAAAAAATGATGGTGTAGAGGTCTTTTAAGGCCTCTCAGACCTCAATTTTATAGAAGTTCAAGATTATATAAACTTATTCCCGAAGAAATCCTTACGGAGGACTGGAAAGTCTTTGTAGTTATGTACAAGGAATTTTGAATATTCGAATTCTATGAAGCTTTCTTGAAGCCAAGCTCAAGGGAATTTTTATAGAAGAAGTCAGAAAGAGTCCTTTTTGACGTTCGGAAGGAGGTTTATATATATGAGTTGAAGGGAGTCTTTATAGACGAGCTGAAGTGAGTCTTTTTTAGACGAGCTGAATGGAGTCTTTTTTAGACGAGCTGAAGGGAGTCTTTTTTAGACGAGCTGAAGGGAGTCATTTTTAGACGAGCTAAAGGGAGTATTTATAGACGAGCTAAAAGAAGTCTTTTTTAGACGAGCTAAAGGGAGTATTTATAGACGGGCTGCAGGGAATCTTTTTTACAGCCTGTGACAGAAAATTGTCTATGCAGGTACAGGACTTCGTATAGCCCCCATATAACGGTACCTCCCCATATTCGGTATATTTTGGCTACATTATTCACCGGAATGATTTCAAATTTGGTATTTGCACTTCATAACGAGTACTACAGTCTCTGACAGACAATTGCCTCTACAGGTCCAGGTCTTCGCATAGCCCCCCTATATCGGTTTCTCCTTATATTCAGCATTTTGTTGATATTAGCAACATAATTTAACGGAATTGCTTTAAATTTCGTATTTTAAAGTCCTTATGGATACTACAGTCTATGTCGAAAACCTGCGTATGCAGGTCCTAATCTCCGTGTAGCTACCAATAGCAATTTTCAAACGGTATTTGTCGACGATTTTTTTTTTATTTTTAAAGTTTTTTCAAGTTCCTTCCAAATGGTGAATGGTATTAAAAGTTCCGCTCAGCTGAACATAAGTGCCTCTTTTCTTGTCATTTTTTCATCATTTTATTTAAAAGAGTATCAAAATTATTGGAAAAAATCTTGACCTGCAGAGAGCTGTAGTTGAAGCCTCTTTTATAAAAAATTCAATTATATCTCCAGTTCCTTCTTCAAGAGAGAAGGTCCAGAAGGTCCATAGACGACATGTCTTTTAAAGGGAAGTGTCTGAAGTGTATCTAAATAGCGCAGCTGAAGACAATTTTTAGAGACGAGCTTAAGGAGAACTCCTGAAGATCAAATGGTAATTTCTGTATTCGAACTGAATAAGATTTTATACATAACCAGGTCATATATTCTGCTACAGGACGATTTATATGCCTTCTATAGAAAATTCATTCCTATTTGGACTTGAATATATGAAGAAAGTCCGCCAAGAAGATCTTAGCCCAAGTAACACAATATATGGAAGGATGATAAATTGATTTTTCGAATTCTGATGTTCTGTATCAAAAACAGCCAAACGCCCTCAAATGGAGAACTATTGGTATTTTACTTACGAAAATATTCTATATATTTATATAATAGTCATCTTCTTAAAAGGATTTTTCCAAAATAGAGTAGATCAAGAAGATTTTTGGTTTTAGAAATTCTCAAACCCTAAAAATCCTAAAAGTAACTCGCTTCTGAGTCAGGCCATTAAGTAACCTCAGATTCCATGAGGAACGCAACATATTCTGGATATCCCGAAAATAAATTTAAGGCAAGTTTACCACCATTAAAACAAAAAACATTTATTCTTCCTATGTTTTCCTTCAATTTTATATCCTATCACATTAAGAGATTATTTTGGTAAAACTACACATTCGGGACTAAAACCCTATTTAATATTTTTTTGGATTCCTACTTTACATGAACGCGTTTTATCGATTTTGAGTATTTTATTACAAAGGGATGATTACAGTTTTGCTATGTGGGTTAATTTTAAGGTTATATAGTTGCTATTCACGGAACACTATGACCTAAGCGGATATTCTGGAGAGCTGTGAATGGGGAATTGAAAGATTTTCCCACAGCTCTGTAGTAGGTTGATTGGATTGGATTTGCACAACATTGAAGTTTATGAAGTAATTTTCGATCTCTCTCTCTCTCTCTCTCTTTCAATTTAACTCTCTTTCTCTCGCATTTGTTCTATTATATTTATAAATCAGAGATGGAAATCGTTATATTGATCTGCTATGGATAGAAGAACCCCTCCTTAGTTAAAAAAGATAGAAGATTCCATACATGGAAGACGTGAAGGTCATCCGTCTTAAGAAGAACTTTTATGAATGGAAGACCTCTTACAGGACTACTGTAGATAGAAGACCTTCTAAACGTAGAAGCTCTGAAAAACCTTTTGTAGGTCTACTAGACATGGAAGACCTTCTGCAGCTATTTCAGATCTATGAGACCTTCTGAAGTTCTTTCAGACATAGAAGACCTTTTGCATGTCCTGTACATCTAAATGACCTTTTGAAGGTTTTTCAGACAAGGAGACCTTCTGCGGGTATTCTAGACTTAGAAAACCTTCTTCAAATCTTCTAGACCTAGAAGACTTTCTGCGGATCTTCTAGACCTAGAAGACGTTCTACAGGTATTTGAGGCCTAGAAGACCTTTTAAAAGTCTTCTAGACGTAGATCACCTTTAGCAGGTCGTCCAGACCTGAAATACCTTCCGCAGATTTTATATAGGTTTTCTAGACCTAGATAACCCTCTCCGAGTCTTTTAGACTTAGAAAACATTTTGCCGGTCTTCTATACGTAGAATACCTAAAAGACCTTCTGCAGATCTTCTCGGCCTAGAAGACGTCCCACAAGTTTTTTCTGAGAATATTCTAGACTAGCAGACCTTCTGAAGACGTTTCACAGTTATTTGAGGTCTAGGAGATCTTCTACAAGTTTTCTAGACATAAAAGGACTTCAGCAGGTCTTCCATATGTAGAATAACTTTAGCAGGTCATCCAAACCTAAAATACCTTCCGCAGATTTTCTATACGTAGAAGACCTTTTGCAGGTCTTCTAGACCTAGAATACCCTCTCCAAGACTTCAAGACTTAGAAAACATTCTGACGGTCTTCTAGATGTAGAATAATTTCAGCAGGTCTTCTAGACCTAAAAGACCTTCAGCGGATCTTCTATACGTAGAATACCTTCTGCGGATCTTTTAGACTCAGAAGACGTTCCACAGGTTTTTGATGCCAAGCAGACCCTCCACAAGTCTTCTAGTCTTAGAAGACCTTCTGCGAATATTCTAGGCAAGGAGACCTTTTGAAGATGTTTCACAGGTCTTTGAAGTCTAGAAGGTCTTCTACAAGTCTTTTAGACTTAGAAGACCTTCTGCAGATCTTCTAGACGTGGACGAACTTTAGCATGCCGTCCAAACCTAAAATATCTTCTGCAGATTTTCTATGCGTATAAGAGATTCTGCAGGTCTAGACGTAGAAGAGCTTCAGCGGGTCTTTTAGACGTAGAAGTCGTTCTGTAGGTCTTCTAAAAGTAGAAGAAGGTCTTCTACTCTATGTATGTCATTTATATGTAGAAGACCTCCTGCAGGTTTTCTTTACGTAGAAGACTTCCTGCAGGTTCTTCTATCGGACTTTCATTGAAATTTGGATAATCCATCATTGCTTTGGAGTAACTATCTATCTTTCCATTCTCTCTCTCTCTTTCTTTCCCTCTCTTTAGTTATTTTTCTTTTTGTATTTTTCTTTTTTTCTCTCTCTTTCATTTGGCTATTTTCTCTCATTTTTTTAATATTTTATTCTCTTTTTATAACTAAAACCCTATAAGGAGCTAAAAAATCAACAACCCTCCGTTTTTTCACAATTCAGTTAAGTTCCCCTCCCTTCCTTAACCTCACTGATCACTCAAATCATCGGAATCATGGAATTTCGGTGGTGGATCTACGCGTATATCTAGACCACAGGCAAAACGTTCATATTCTATGGGTTCGGTTTCATAGTCAGATAGAAAATCCGGATATGGCAAATCGAGATCACTTGATTTGGATTTACGTCTTTGATCACGTACACCACCACCACTGGACGTGGCACCACCACCACCCGCGCTGCCAACGCAGTCAACCGATCTACTGGCTGTGCTGCTGCCACTGCTGCTGGCTGCCGATTTGATGGCGGCTGCCGCAGCAGCAGCGGCCATGGCAGCTGCCGTGGAACGTTTGATGGTGCCGGTGCAGTGATAGAAACTATTGTTGCTGTCCTCACTACTATTGGCCATATCATCAGATAGACCACCCTTCGTTTCAAATTCACTCTCTTCGGGATTGCAATAGGAGCGACCATGATACTGGCTGGCCCCCGAGCTATAGGGCGTGCTGGAGGACTGCTGGGAACCCATTACCGAGTCTTCACGTTTTAGTTGGCGTTTTTTGGTGCGAGCAGGTTTAATGGGTTGCCCAGACGGTGGAGGCATGGGATGATTGGCTGGTGCTGGTCTACTACTACCACTACTGCTGCTGCCCAAGCCGCCGCCACAACTCTGGCTAGAGGATGCGGCAGCGGCTGCAGCTGCAGCTGCAGCCATGCGCTGTTGCTGGAATTGATGGGACTGTTGCTGGTATATGGGATTGGTTATGTGACTCAAGCGATCGTAACGTGGAAAACCCATTTCATCAACATTATCCGTGGCCATGTCCAAACTCTCAAAGGCCGATGATGTTGATGAAAAGGCCACTCCCGAATATTGCGGATAATCATCATACTCATCGGTCTCCTGTTCACGTTCCTCCAGCTCTTCGTCGAACTCATAGTATTCGCTGTGTCGATAGGAAGGATCTGAACCTCCAGAGTCCATTTCGGGCATGTAACCCTCTGAACATTCGGAACTTTCCTGTTCAACGAGATTTCTTTCGGAAGATCGTACACGTTTGGCGGTGATTTGTCGTTTCTTGCGATAGCCACGCGTCCTTAGCTTGGGATCTTGGGCGCGAACATCCACCGAGCTGTCGGTGTCATTGCCACTGGGCGGTGATTTGACCAGGGGTGCGGTGCGTGATATGGAACCCTTGCGTGGAGGTTTTTGTATCAACTGATTGGGTGGTGATTCGGAGCTTAGGCTGCTCGAATAGTAGGGGGAACATTTGATGAGTTTTTCCGCCCGGGCGGGCAGCATGGGCGAGGAAGTTTCATTGCTCGTTGTATTGCCACTGGTGACAGTGGTTGTGATCGTTGTAACGGTAGAGGATTCGGCATAGGTGGCTGCTGCCTCCTGCTCCTCCTCTTCAATGCGGGCCGGCGTCGTGGACTCCATCGATGATTGTTGCGACTGAGAGAGCATGTGCTCATGGAACGAATTCGATTGTCTTACTTTGCTGGTTTTGTATTCCCTGATTTGGGATTTGGACAGAGTTTTATCGTCGTAGCTGTGATGTTTGGCCAGGGGCTTTTCGCCCGGTGGTCCAATTTCAGTTTCTGGCAGATCTGTGGGTGAGGTAATTGGCGGCAGGGGTGGTATGGGTGGTGGTGGAGGTTTGACTTTTTTGGGTTCTTCCGTTTGCTTTTGTTTCTCTGCAGTAGCGGCGGCAGCTTCTTCCTCGGCCGCTGCCTGGGCTGCGGCAGCCTCGGCCACCCCGGGTTCCTTCATGTGCCGTAGCAGGGCCTGCATTAGGGGTTGTGTCACTGACATTTTGGGTTTTGTGGGTTTGGGTGGTGGTTGTGGGGCCTTGGGTTTGCTAACGGGAGGTTGTGGCGCCTTTCCCTTGACGGGTTTGGGTGCTGTGGCTGGTGGCCCTTGGCCACTGGGCTGGGCCGTGTGTAGCGGCACAAACTCCTGACTTTGATAACGTTCGGTTAACTTCTCACTGGGGGCATATAGTCGTTCCACAAAGGATTCACTTTCGGAGCACAACTCCTGGCTTTGATAGCGTTTCGACATCATTTCCAGGGAGCGTCGTTTCCTTGCCGCCGTGGTCTCTGCCATATCATCTTTTCCGGTAATACGCACCGGCATGCCTGGCCTGGCAGGCTCACCGGTTTTCCCTCCAGATCCCGAGGGTTTTTGGGCCACATCTTCATTGCTCATACGCTGTAGACCATTACTGCTACTGCGCCGATGTATCTGAGGAAGGGAACCCCTCTTTCCTTCCTCCTCCGGATTTTTCTCCCTGCTTCCAGTTTTGTGATATTTCAGAGGCTGATAGTCGATGTAACTACCCCGGCGACCATTCATTTGATCACCCACCTCGCCGGGGGCGGTTCCCACCAGAGTTCGACTACTCGAGGTAGACCACTCCGACATGGTTTGGGCCATTTCCGTTAGCGTCAGCGTGGTATCATCACTCTTGGTGGCCGATGTGGTGTCGGACATTTTATCTGTCTCCGAACTGGAGAGCATATCATAGCGCAGACCATCCGAGGAGCCATTGTCACACAGACTCTCTGCCGACTTATTTATGGAACTCAAACTTGAGCGGGTTTGATTGGATTTTTCCGATTTGGCACAGGATAAGTTGGACACAGCCGACAGGCTATCCGATCCAGATAAATTGGCATATTGCCTAACGGTATTGGTGCCCGTCGACCAATCGGATATGCTCAGCCCTATGGAGGTATCTTCCGAGTGAGAGCTATGGGTACATTTCTTTTGCATACCCATGCGTACCGTGCCATCCAAATCGGTGCCAATGGAACTGGTATCCTCCTCCGAATGGCTGGAGTGGCTACACTTGCGACAGCTACCCGAACTCAAACGATGTTCATAGTTATGTCTCACCGTACCCGTGGTTGGCGAGAGTATATCATCAATGGAGGTGTCCGAGTTATTAGAACCCCGCGACAGTTTCCTTATATACTCCTGGGTCTTGGTCTCATCGGGAGATAACTGGACCTTTATGGTTCCCGGCATAAAAACATCATCATTGGAGAACACCTCATCCTCGGAGAGAGGAGACCTGGGCGCCGGCGATCTTGTGGGTTGAGACATAATCACCGTTTCTGCACTGGAATCTTTCCTTAACGATGTGGCCCTAGGACCCTTGGGCGAGGTGGAGGAACACGAAACATTAAACGAGTTCGATAGACATGTGGCGGCATTCAATGTCGAACTTAGACATGTCGCCGTTGCATCATGCTGATAATCATCTGCCCCAAAATCTTTGTCCTCAAAGGCCGCCGACATTAGATAGGCTGTATCCTCATAGGGTATTACCTTGGCCATTTCTGGTGGGGAGATGGGAAAATCTTCAAGGGATAACTTATCCTCCCCCTCATCGTCCGTGCGTTCGGTGGTGGTAAACGACTCCACCATAACTTGATCCGCCTTTTGGGCCTCAGAGGTGAAATAGGTTTCAATGTCTTCCACCACCACCGGGGTACCCCCTGCACTGGAGGGTGGTGTGGGCCAATCTTGTGAATCCTCTGAGGGAAATGACATTCCAGCCTTCCAGCAGAAGGACTTAGGCACAGGTTTATCCAAATCTGGTATCTCATATAAAGAATCTATGGGTTTTACGGGCACATGATCATAGGGTATTTCCGGCAAAGGCCAATCCTCGGAATCCTGGCTCCCAGCATTGGAGAGACACATCAGGGTAGGACGATCCTCGCCACCCTCACCTCCCTGCTCATCCACATGGGTAACGGAAAATCTTCCCGTCACTCTAGTCGGCGATTTCGGTTCATTGAAACTGCTATTGCTGCGATCTCCCGTTGCCGAATCACAGGGAATATCAGGCATTTCTGCCGAGGTTCGACGATCCGTATCGGATATGTAATTCAAATTTGTATTGCTCCTCGAATCCGAGCTAAGACTGGCCTGATGATCAGTTGCCGAACCTATGGATTCTTCATGGATACTCATGGAATGTGTGGAGGCCTTGTCATCATCCATGCTAGATTTCTCCGAAGCTGTGCTGCGTTCGGATATCCTTGACAGGGTTCTTCCCAGGGTAAATCCTGAACTATAACCAATTATATCTGTGGGATTGACCCCAATGCCATTCAGCGAACTGGTCATGGCCGGATAACCGAAGGTTGTGGGGAAATCGTTGAGTTCATCCTGGAAACTGGTATCACTTTCCTTTTGCTCATCCGGTGAGACCTCCTTTAGTTCACTGTCCGAGGAGTCCCTCTGGGTATTTGTGTTCGTATCGAATCTCTCATAACCTCCATCCGTTTCCACATGATGCCAGGGGTCATCGGTACTGCTGCTGTTGCTGCTTTCAATGGGAAATGGTTTCCAGGTGGATTGTTGTTCCTTCATCAGCAACTCGCCCCGGCGATGGGCTGCCCCCATGGATCCGGAACTGCTTTCGGTTTCAAAAGAGCCACGAGATTCCACACTCAGCGAGCCTTTGGAATCAAAGCTAGATTTGGATTCCTGGGAGCTGCTGCCAGATTTGGCTTTTTCTCCCGCTGCCCCTCCTCCTCCCTCGGCCTTGTTGACTGCCAATTTCCTGGCGGGTTTTTCAATTTTTGGTAACTTCTTTTCCTTAATCTCTTTTGGAGATGGTCCCGCGGGAGTAGCTACCTCCTGTTCTCCCTTTGCCCCACTACTTTCCTTGTTGGCCTTCTCCTCTATGGCCTCCAAATAGGATTCCATGCTATTGCCAAAATCAATGGGACTTTGTTTTTCCAGCGTTGGGGTGGTGGGTTTCTTAGCCACCGGTTTTAGGGGTTCCATGGGTGCCGTTTCATTGGTGGGCGTGACATCTTTCGAAGACGAGGGACTGTGGAACTTCACATCCGCCGCCGTTGCATTGGCATCCACCTCCAGTTTCAACATTTTCTCCTTTAACTCCTGACATTTCTTGTTATCCAAATCTCCAAAATCTTGGGAAATACCCAAGGGTCGGGCAATGGAACAGCTAACACTGGATTCCTCCTCCACAGAGCTTTTTTCCCTGCCACCACTCACGGACAGACTCCAGTCGCCTTTTTCTCCTCGGGCCGGGCTCACATCCTTTTCACCACTGGTCCAGGAATCGGAACTCTTGGATTTGTCACTTTGTTTCTCCAGCAGGGGTTTACGTTTCGTCTCCACCTGCTGCTGTTGCTGCTGTTCGGCTTGTTGTTTTTCAAAGGATTCCAGGATATTTTTATCGGCCATGGGACTGGTATTGGGTGGTGTAACCAAAATATTCAAATCCGATGTGGGTGTGGCACAATTGGAGTATTCCAGGGGCACAGCATCATCCAGAGTGGCCTGGGTCTCGAGGACATTACGATCTGGTTCCAGTGTTCTTGGCTCATTCTCTGAGGTATCGGAACCCACAAATTCGTCGCATTCCACTGTCATCCAAGAGCCGGTTTCATCACTACGACTCCGATCCAAACTCAAGCGATTTGTATCCATGCGCGATACCTTCAAATGCCTGGAGCTGTCATCCTCCTCAATGCTTGCCTCCTCACATTCTATGGTGGGCACTCGATGTGGATAGCCACCCTCCTGATGGGGTATGGGTGATTTACTGGCCGGCGAGTGGCTATCATCGGCCGAGACAAAGGAATCCAAGCTATCGGCCGTTGAGGCCTTGCGACTATAGGTACAGTCGCTGTCCCTGGTATCCTCGGAGGGCAGAGACCTCTTCAATATCTCCAAAGATCTTCGTTCCGAGATGACAGCCTGCATATCAATATCTTCCTGGACATTGTATTGATGGGCAAACATACGCCTGTCGCCAATGGCACTGCGCAGTGGAGGTTTCTCCTCCTGCTTTTTCACCACTTCCGGTTTTTTGTCATCCAAACTGCGGGCCTTTACCTCGGCACCCAGCAAATGAGGTTCTGTAATGTGTGGAGGCTTTTCTAGGCTACTGGATTTGATGTCGATCTTATTGCTCACCACCACCGGGCCTTCGATTTTCTGTTTCAGCTCCTGGCTCTTGGCAATCTTCTTCGGCGACTTGATGACCATGTCATCGGGCACATCGGACATTTCCGAATTCTCAAAGGATTTATTGCGATCCTCAAAGCTGCGACTGGCCTTGTCCAGTTTATCTGGGCTGCGGCCCTCATCAAAACTGCGACTGAATTTGGTCAGAGATGTATCCAGTTTCCGGGGCGACTTGGCAATCAGGACATGGTCTTCGGCCTTGCTTTTGAACTCAGTTTCGATTATGATTTTATCTCCCTCCGTCTTTACCGATATCTTATCCTCCGGGGCCGGGAAGGGCGGCAAAGTGTCCTTGACGGGACTCAACATGGTAATGGTCTGCTTCATGGCCGATTCGTAAAGTTTCTGCTGCCGTTCCTTGCGTTTGGCCACATCGGCCTCGGTCTCCTCCTGGCTCTTGCTTTTATCCTTACTCAGACGTCGAGTTTCAATACTCCTTGGCCTTTCCTTGGGACTGGTTTTCTTACCCTTGCCACCCTCTTTTTTGATGTCATCCGCACTGGTCCTTCTCGACTCGGGTCGGGAGCGTGATCCCTTCCTGCCACCACCACTTACCTCACCCATACTAAGTTTTAGTTTCCCCTTGCCCGTACTCTCAATACTACTGGCCCGCGAAACACCCGGCGATGTTTTCCTGGAACTATTGGCCGAGCTGTATGGCGACCAATCGGTAAACCTATACTTGGGTATATTCAGAATCAAATGATCTCCACTCTTCAACTTCATTTTGGATTTCTTTTTATCCTTGATTTTCACACCCTGCAGGGCAATCTTTTCAATGTATTTCAGCTGATCGAGCAGCTGTAGCTCCTCATCATCTATGGTCACGGCACTGAGCAGTGAGTCCTTGGCCACCGAGGCATACGACGTCTGGGTGGGTATGGAGCCGGCACAGGAGTGTACACTGTCCGCCGTGTCCTCATCCTGGGCCGATTTGGCCTGTTCCAAAGACTTTTCTTCCAAAATCTCCGCCTCCTCTTCAAAGCCCACCGTGTCATCTTTGGACGAGAAGGCATTCATGTGCGGCAAACGATGCAGTGATATGACCGGGGTATCCAAGCTCTTGGTTCTCCTTTCCGTGGTGGGTGATTCCAGGGCAGATTTTTGCCTTTGCAGCGACACGGCAGAGCCCTCGGAAAGATTTAACCTGGCATGGGCAAAAAGTATGGGAGCATGACCCTTGGAGCGCATTACCATGGAAGAATCAATAACCTCATCGAGTAGCTTGACTTTGGCGGATTTGGTTTTATCCACCCGGGTTGTCGACGTCGTGGCCATCGAAGAGGTCTTCTTTTTGAGGGTGTAATCAATGCCCATTTCGGTGATCCTCTCCTCATGACATGTCTCATAGATATCATCATTGCTCCTAAAGAATTCGGTGTGCTCCAGTATGGGCGATGGTATATTCTCATTCCTCTGATAGTCATTGGTACACTCATCCATGCGTGAGCGATAGGGCATGTGTGGAGGTTCATCCTCGGATGAGGGTATGGATATGGAACGTTCTGAGATACGTCTCAACTCACTGGCATTGGCATAGTGAGGATCCAGTTTTTGGGTATGATAACGACTTTCCAGCTCTGCCAGCCGGCGACACTGAGGTGGCGAGCCCTCAATTTCGGTGGAACTCATGGTCTGGCCCCTACCCCAGGCTGCTGAAATGAGGCGACTTTGTTCAATCCTTAAAATTGGTTCAATTTCCTTTCTCGACTGGGGTGGTGAGAATTCCAGGCGATCTGGTATGGCCTCAGCCGAACCAAAGACATCATCTGAATCGAGACTTTCATCATCCGATGAAAAGGAGGTTATACGAGTCTTGGCTTTTTTCGGTTTACCCGTAACCTTCGTTTTGGGTATAACCCGGGCCTTCAAGGTTTTCCTGGCATTGGCTGCCAGTTCCGCTCTTAGACTTTGTATCAATTCAATTTGTTTTTGTTCCAACTTATTTTTTTGTTGTTGCAAAGACTCTGTCCTGGAACTGGTGGCCGAATCGCTTTCAATTTGACTTAGTTTTTTGTTGAGTTTCTCCAGCAGCGAGGGCTCAATTTGTTTGGTAATATCTCCTCGTTTGGTGGGTGAGGAAAGTTGTATTATCGGTATGGTCTTATCCACCTCCAAAGTAATGGGATCCACCTTGGACAGATCTATGTTTTGGGTAAACAAAAATTCCTTGGTCTCTGCCGGTAGCAGGCTATCCAAAATGTCGGGTAAAAAGTCTGTGTCGGGTTGTAGCAAACCCTTACCCGCCTCGGTTTTAGGAGACTTTGGTGATTTGGGCGACTTGGGGGATTTCGGAGACTTGGGTGATTTTGGAGACTTGGGTTTGCTGTATTTCTTTTCCACCGGCGAGGGCGCAGTGCCATTCATTATGTGGCGTTTATGCAGGACATAGGGTATATCCTCTTTCAGGACCTTGGTGAAACGCCGTTCATATTCCCGGAAAAATGATTTGGGCATTTCAAAGCCCATTTTGGGTATTTCCGCCGATTTTAGCGGAGAATCGTAACATTTGGGTATTTCAAAATTGCCATGGGCCTTACACAAAGGCGGGGCACTGGGTATTTGTTTGTAAATATAATCCTCATCACTGGAATCGGCCGGTGTGAGATCAATGGATTTCTGATGCATCAGGACATGTCGGCGGCTATTGCTGCCCAAACGATTCCTATTGGCCAGGGAGTTGGGATCACTTTTGGTTCTCTCCACCGTGGCATGGGCATAGTTCAGCGGCACCATAATGGGATTGTATTCCTCGAAATGGGTCTTGGCCATTAGCTCCTCTTTGCGGGTGATTTTCTGATTCATCACCCTGGATTGTTGTTTTTCAAATTCCGACACCAATTCCGGTGTCAAGGGGTATTCGGGACTTTGTTTGGTTTTCTCCTCCTTGCCGGGAGATTCCCACTGCTTGCCATAGTTTTGTATGCACTCTATGCGATCCCGATCGAAACTGAAAATATTCTCACTATCCGATCGGCGGCGAAAAGCGGACATTTTACACGACTGGGAATCGGATTTTTTGAAGGGAGCCGTTTGATCTATCGAATCATTGGTTTGTATTTCCTTTTCCTCTTTGCGTTTGGGTGTATTGGCCGAATCGGGGGACTTACTGCCAAATGATTTGGCATTGCGTTCAATTTCAACATTTTGCAGGCTAATCGAATGGACCTTGGAGGTCTTGGCCGATTTGTTGCTGGGGAAGGTGGAATAGGTATCACGACTGTCATAGAATGAGCTGTTCACCGACGAACCCTGGGTATCGGAGAGCAGGCAATCATGGGACTTTACCTTGGGCCGGGAACTCAGACCATCGGGAGGTTCCACTGTTTCCACGGCATCATAGTAATCCGATTTGGATTCCTGGCTGGATTGCAGGAATTTCTCAAATTTCTCTTTTTTACTCAAATGTTTGTAACCCTTGCCGGTGGTGGTGGGCATTTCATAGTTCTTACCCAAATAGTCGCCAATCAAAGACTCCTTGGAATCCTGGCTGGAGACCTCAGAATTCTTCGATTTGGTAGTCTCCCTGGACTTCTTGCTATCCGTGTGATATAGGCTGTCCCGAGACTTTTTACTTGAATCCGAACTCCTTGAAATCTTTGTCTCATATATATCCGACCGCGACTCCTGACTCGAAGTCCTCGACAAATTACCACCCTTGATTTTCTTATAAAAATTACCATCCGATTTCACCGACAATTTTTCCCTTGGCAAATACCTCGGATCCTCCATGTCCCATATCTCATTCATCAGCTCTGCGGCCGATTTACATTTCACATCCATGGCCGAACGATATTTGTGATGCTCCGACACCGACTCATCATCGGTGGGTATATAATTACCCGAATCCAATGAACACGAACGCATATGATCTTCGGAACGACGACGACCACTAAAGAAATCAATATCATATTTTTCCAATAGCTCATAACTGTCCTGGGAAATATCATCTTGAGACCCACAGTAGTCAACGTGATGGCCATAGCCACCACGATGGTGGCCATGGTGGCCGCGATGATGACTATGATTTAGCTGGGAGTTGTAGGTGCTGCCGGGATAACTAGAGGAGTAGACCTTGGTGTGGGACAGGGGTGAAAAATCTTGGGTGGCATCTATGCTATGGTTCTTGGTGAAGTACAAGGAGTGCCGTGAATCGTCATAGCGCGTGACCGGAGAATCAATACGATTAAATGAAAAGAATTCCTTGTCAAAGGCGGTCATCGGTTTCGATTGTTCCCGATCGTAGTGGGAGAAATCGTAAAGATCTTTGCAAGAAGAACTTTTCAACCAGGACTCCTTTTCCACTTGGTCGTATATGTTCTCCATTCTGGCCCGCCGTTCTTCCTCATCGTCATCCTCCTCATCATCGTCGTCGTCATCATCGTCATCCTCATCCTCCTCCTCATCGCGACTCTCACTGGAATAACCCACCGGCGGGGTTTTGTTATACGAAGCCGTGGAATACAAATTCGAGGAGGACATTTGATATTCCAATTTCTCCGACGATGTCTTAAAACGATCCAATGGCGAACCCGACGAACTACGATCATCCACCTGATGCTGCATCTTATGCTGCTGCTCCACCGCATGATGATGATACATGGCCGATCTATAAGCTAAATGAGATGATGTGGCGGGCGGTATATTCACCACGCCACCCTTTGCATTCAAATGACCCACCGAATGATGGGTCAAATAATGACTATCATAACTATCTACAGAATCTACTCCCGATAACTCGGAATTTCTAGGCAAGGAATGTGTATGTCTAGGCATATTATTCACCGATGTCGAACTCTGTGAATCCATCGAGGGATTTAGGTAATTTTCCGAAAAGGCCAATTTCACCCTCTCCGTATTCAGTGCGTTCACATAACGCTTGGTATTGAAGCCTGTACCGAAATACGAAGAGGACGAGTCCGAAGGATGATTTAAGTCATTGTGATATTGATACTGCAGCAATGAGCTCGAAAACGTATCCCCCCTCTCGTTGAGGTCATGATCTGTCAAGGTATTACAACTAACCGGCATACGTATATCCGCAGCCATACCCAACTGCTTGGAGCGGGTATAGGCCAAGATACTCTCATCAATGAACTCATCGGAGAAATGTTTCTCCCTTGACTTGGCCTTGGTCTTGCGATTGACCGTGGCATAGATATCATTGCGATCATTCAAATTGACCGTCTCACTGTTGGTCAGTTTGTTTTCCAGCTTAATGCTGGACGAAGATGAGGTCTTTGCAAAGTCCGGATATTTGTAGGGATGCAAGTCGTGTATGTCCGAGTAGATAATGTTGTCTGTTTCGGTCTCTGTCGAGGTTGCGTTATTATTTAACATGCACTGTTTAGACATCGAATAGCTGGTACTGCTATAATGTGTTGCCACCGCCGCCGCCGCCCCCGGCTCCATGTGAGATGGGGACTCCGGTAACCGATGCGGCGGAGGAGGGGCAATTATTGTTGCCACCACCGCCGATGAGGCCGGGCCCACTGCCGATACTGCCGTATGCATACTCTCCCGATTGATGGTAGATTGAGTCAAGTCCGAATCCACTTCCTCCTCGGGCAAATCCGATTCCAGCAATTCCACCTGATGCTGCTGGTCCACCATGTGCAGGTCCGGCTCCTGGTCCTCCAACTCCAATTCCTCCTCCTCCTCCTCCTGATCCAATTCCATAGAGCTGCTGAGATCCACTGAGAGACCCACCGTATTGGTGGTGATAGAGCGTAGGTAATTGTTGGTGTTGTTGTTGATGTTGTTGCTGCTGTTGTTGGTGGTGATGGTGTTGACATTGTTGTTGTTGCTGTGTTGCAACGGCGGCGACACAGGGACAAACGCCTGGGATGCCACTGAGACTCGACGAGGGGTGTTGCTGCTGTACAAGTGGGACAAGTGGCTCAGACCTGGTTCGATTTGGATTTTTCCGGAAAGCATGTTTGTTTTTTTGTTTTTGGAAAAATATGATTGGGAAAGGGAAATTAAATTGATTACAAATCGTTCCCTTTGAGGCAAAGTTAACATACAAACCGTAACGAAACATAATGGAACCAAGGAAAACTTTTTTTTTCCGCAAAAGAAAACACTCGAAACTGAAAATTGTAAGGCATGCACTGGGGGAGGAGGTTTTCACTTTGTTTTTGTTTTTTCAAAAGAAAAATGCTAGACACTAAAACTTATAACAAAAAATCACTTTTCTGGGGTGTAGAAAATAAGACAAAAAATAATGAATTCGGACCCCCTGTTCAGGCCCTCTAAAACAGAAGACCGTCTAAGGGATTCTATATAAAGAAGACCTGTTATGGGACTTCTATAATCAGGAATATTTTTAATAAATAAATAGATATATAAAAGATAGGATAAGATCTTCTAAATGTGTATTATAAACAGAAGACTTTTAGAAAGATATCTGTAAACAGAGGATCATCTAAAGCCTCCTAAAAAAAGGAGGTCCGAGAAGTATTTTAAGACAGGAATTTTTTTAAAAAATCCATGGCATTCTACGGACTGAAGACTTTTGAAACGTTTTCTGTAGAAAAAAGACCATCGCTAGATCTTCTATGGTCCTTTAAAGGGTCTTTCTAGGTCTTACATATAGAAAATATCTTCTAGAAGTCTTTAATATACAGAATAGCCTATTTTATAGAAAGGGGGTCTTTTAAACAAACAACATGACATCTTCCATACCTAGAAAATCTTTCTTGGGTCTTTTATAAAAAGGAGACCTTTCAGAAGTCTTCTATACACAGAAGACGTTTCATAGGTCTTCTATACAAGTAAGACCCACCAAGGTCCTTCTACGCCTCTTTGTATAGAAGACCTCCGAAAAGTGTGGTAAGAGGTCTTCTATGTAAAGAAGACACTCTAGAGGTCTTCTATGCTAAGAAGATTTTCCAAAGGTCTTTTAGAAAAGAAGAGCTTTTAGAGGTCTTTCATAAATAGAAGATCTTTCAGCGATATTTTATACAGAGAAGTCCTTTCAGAGGTTTCTACAAAAAAAGTACATTTTACAGGTATTCTGTATAATGAAGACCTTCCGGAGTTCTTTACAGAGGGTTTCTATACCTTTCTTCTTTCTTCTATTTAAAGAAGACCTCCAATGGTCTCCTCTAAATGTGTTATTGTACAAAAGATCTTCCAGAGAGGTCTTCTATAAACAGAAGATCTCTCAAAGGTCTTCCATACACAGGGGACGTTCCAGAGACCACTTAATCGCAGAGATCCTTCTCAAAGATTCCCTAAGGCCTTCTCTAAAGATGAAACCTTGAAAAGTTCTCCTGCTGAGAGGAGGTCATCAAAAAGGTATCTTCAAAAGTCTCCTACAGAGGCGAGTTCTTTGAATGATTTCCGATAGAAAGAAGGATCTTGGAGAAAGGAGAGCACACATATCGAGAAATCTTTAAGAGGTCTCTAAAGAGAGGAAAGATTCAAAGGGTTTCCAACAGAAGTGAGATGTTTAAAATATCTCCAAGAAAACTTTTGAAAGATATCCTTTTTAAAAGTCTCCCACCTTCCAAAGGTCTCCTGCTGGGAGGTGCTCAAAAACGTTTTTCAAAATATCTCTTATAGAGGTGAGCCCTTTGAAAGACCTCCAATATAGATGAGGACTTTGGAGAAAGGAGAGGAAACATAACGATCTCCTAGAGGGCGGAGATCTTTAAGAGGTCTTTAGAGGACCCCTTCGTAGGGCCCTTAACAGCGACGAGAAAGAAAGATGATCTTCAAGGTCTAGCTGCTGAGAGGAGGTCCTCAAAAAAGTTATTTCAAAAGTCTTCTACAGAGTGGAGGTCTTTGAAAGATTTTCGATAGAAAGGAGGGCCTTGAAGAATGGTGAGGATACATAACGGGAAATCTTTAAGAGGGCCCTATAGAGAGGAAAGCTACGAAGGGTTTTCAAAAAAGGCCAGACTTTTAAAATGTATCGTTAAAGTGTCACCAACAAAGAGGAGACATTCGTCTGCGTATAAATGCCATTCGTAGGGTTCTTATCTCTAACGAGCAAGAAAGAAGACTTTCAATAGGTCTTCCACAGAGGTTAGACCTAAGAAAGGTCTTCTGCAGAGAAGAGAGGAGGAAGAATAGCCACAGAGAAAACCTTCAAGGGATCTCCTATAAAGTCAGGAAGTCAGGATATTGAAAGTTATTTTACAGAGTCGAGATTATTTTTGAAGATTTTTGTGGAAAGAGGTCTTGAAACGGTTGCCCAAAGGAGAAGACGATTGAAGTGTCTGCTATTAAGAGGAGATATCCTATAGAAAGGGCTCCTACTGATGGGAGACATATCAATCTTCTATAGAGAGGGGACCCTCGAAAGGTTTCCAACAGAGAGCCTTTGAAAGGTCTCCTACAAAGAATATACCTTCTAAAGAGGGGAGATCTAAAAAAGTTCTTCTACAGAAATAGTCCTTCATAAAGGAGCCCCCGAAAGGTTTCTTGTAGAGTGGACACCTACGAAAAGAAAGGCCTTTTATAGAGAAGAAAATAGGTCTCTTATACAGAAACGGTTATTGAAAGGTCTCCTACAGGGAGGAGGTCTATGATATACTTCAGAGAGGGGAAACCCTTCTTAGAACTTTTAGGGAATTCCACAGATTTTCCACGGACAAAAGATCTTTAATGGATAGAATAATTTGGTCTACTAAAGGTAATCTACTGATGTCTTCTTAACACAAAAAACCATCTTCTATGGAAATACGGCCCTCTGTAGGTTTTTATGGATTTTCGATGGACCATAATAGACCTCTATTATGGTGGAAAGACGCTCTTGATGTCTTTTTTAAACAGAAAACCATCTGTAGGTCTTCCATGGATATAGGGTCCTCCGTATGGTTATTATGGATTTTCCATGGATAGAGGATCTTTTTGAAGTCTGCCCATATGGAGTTCAAAAATATTATCTATTCAAGAGGTATTTTATGGTTTATGAGTTTTAAAAGGTCCGCTGTAGACCTTTAAGTGTTCATATATTCATCGGGGACCTTTTGAAGCTTTTAAGTCTATTACAAACTTTAAGAACATCTTATAACTATAGAGGTCCTTCAGGAGATCTTTTTCCCTAGAAGACCTGTGGATAATATTCTGTGGATTTTATTAATTTTCCATGGATAGAGGTCTATTATGGCGGAAAGTCCCTTTGGATGGCTTCTTTTTAAATAAAAAAAAAAAACTATCTGTAGGTCTTCCATGGATATATGACCTTCTGTAGGTTTCTACGGTTAATTAATGAATAAAGCATCATTTTGAAGCCTGCCCATATGCAGTTGAAAAATATTCTCTATTCAAGAGGTGTTATCAATGCATGAGTCTTAATAGGTCCCCTGAAGTGCTCTAAGTGTCCATCTATTTATTGTGGACCATGTGAAGTTTCCAAGTCTATTAAGAACTTCAAGAATATCTTCTAACTATAGAGGTCCTCTAGGAGATCTTTTACCCATAGAAGACCTGTAGATAATATTCTGCACTAAGTCTTCTAAAGATAGAAGATTTTAAGGAAAGCGATGACACATCTTTTAATATTAGAAGACCAAAGTCGTCGCAGCATTTAAAAATATTCAAAATATTCAATTGGGGTTTAAAAAATAATGTTTTAAAATGGATTAACGAAATATTGAAAAAAGTATTTCAGATCAAAATTTAAAAAAATTAAATTGATTAAACAGTTTAAATTATTTTTCACTACAAATCAAATTGAAAAAATTGTCCTAAGAAATTATTTCAAAAAATTATTTCTCATGCAATAAGAAATCTATAAAAATAAATATCTTGAAACATTTTGGACTCACCTAAATTGTGATCGCTTTGATGCACACGAGCCTGATCGTGGCCGCGCTGCGGTTGGTGTGTTAGATGCTGAGTGGTGTTGTTGCTGTGTTGGGGTGAAGTCCATGATTGCGGACCCGGTGGTGAAGCAGAGCGATTCACATTCATTTGATGGTCCGCCGGCACACCCGTTGCCGAGTGGTGTAATTGTTCCGCCGAGGTTGGCGATTCCGAGGCATAGTTCTTCGTCTGATAGATCTCCACCTGGGCTGCTGTGACCTGTAAAAAATCCGAAATGGTGAGGAAGAGAATGCAAATAAGGGGAAGAGAAAATGTTACTTGAGAATGCTTGCGGTCGGTAGGATTGTCTTGTCGGCGATCCAAGGTATCCGCTGCCCTCTTCGTCAGAGAAGGCGTCATCGAGTCGGTGCATTGATTGCGATAATCCCAGGCTGCTGCTTGGTGGCGTTAGGAAAAACAAACATAAATTGTTATTAAAATAAATTATTTTGAAATTTTAGGCCAATTTTTGAAATAATATTAAAAAAAAAAAAATACAAAAAATCATAAATAATTAATAAAAATTTTAAAAACTAATAGTAAAAAAAATTAAATAACCAAAAATTATGAACTTAAAGTCTACTTAAAACCAAATACAAACCGGTATCAATTGGGAGTAAGGGATTGGCTGAAATGCTGGAATTCACATAGGTATGCGACTGACTTCGGCTACTTGCATTCAATGGCCCTTGCCGGAATGATTGTGACCTGCAGCAAGAAAAGAAAAGACAAGAGGATTGATACCACGTTTTTCTTTTTTCTCTATTTTTTGTTGTTGTTGTTGACAAAATTGCTTTCTTTTCTTTCTAACGTGAGAGTTGTTTAAAATTTTTGAAAATATTTTTTTTTAAACATTTTCTTAGCAAATAATTTGTTTTAGTGATTTGAAACTCATAAACAATGCATTGCAAATTTTGATTTTCAGTAGAATTTTAATCGATTTTTTATTGAGAATTTGTGACAAAAATTTATTGAAACTTTAGAAAAATATTAAAAATAATACTAAATACGAAAAAGAATTAAAATATGAAGATGAAATGATTGAGAAAAAATAATATTTAAAATTAAATTACGTCTACTTAGCTACTATCTACGAAAGTTTTCAAAATTTAAACAGCTCTACATTTTACTAATTTTATAAAAAGGAAATAAAATATTTTTGGTAATTTTAAGTTTTAAGCTAACTACGCAAAAATCTACAAGATGTTAATTTTTTATTTTTTAGTGAACTTAATATAAACAAGTTAAAAAGTATCAGTCGGTTTTGCCGACTGACTAAGACCCTCAGCCATTGTTCGATTATTTAAATATATTTTGAGTTCTGTTAGGATTATTTCATAACAAACATGTCATATACGAAAATTTTTAGAAAATGCCAACATGTGGGTGATGTACCAGAAATTGTCGACCGAAGTATTCCATTTTCATACTTCATCCAATACAGATAAAAATATTGATATGGGCTAAATTACAAGAAAATCGAACATTTATATCCAATTTATGGAAAAACATAAATTCCATATTCATCTCAGATTTCTGACAAAGAGGGATATATTTAGATAAAGGAAGTTGTAAAGATCGCTGACTTGTTTCGCAAGTTATGACAGATAAAAGTATTGAAAATTGTAATCCCTTGTGAGTGAGGTGCCAGAAGGGGTTCACAGATATTTATCATCTGGACAACAGAATTTTTTTTAGCAAAAACTTTTGTATGTTTAAAATTTGAAGAGTGTTGAATGCTTATTTCGCTTTCTTTTAGCGTTTTGTTTTTTTCAAAATCTTGAACCCTATATGGGATAGGAAGCAAAGGAAATGATCCGAACTCTAACATTTTATAACTGATCTTGTGTTGATGGAAATATTGGGATGTACCAAGTCTAGAATGAAAATCGGATGTTAATTTCGCTTTTTATGAGCTTCGTGGATATTCAACATTTTGAACTTTTGTGGGTTAGGTAACAGAAGGAGTGGACCGATATATCCCATCTTCACAACAGATCTTTTGTTTGTGGAAATAATAGGATGTGTGAAATATAACGAGAATCTGATGCTTATTTGGGATTTTATAAACGTTTTGGTATTTCAAAATTTTGACGCTTTGTGGGGGAGATACCAGAAGGGATGGTCCAATCTCTACTGTTTTTATAACAAATCTTGTGTTGATAGAAATATTCAGATGTGCCAAGTCTAAATGAAATCGGATATTTATTTCGCGTTCTATGAGCTCAATGGATATTCAAAATTTCGACCTTTTGTGGGGGAGGTACCGGAAGGATTGGAACGATGTATTCCATCTTGGTACCAGACCTTGGATTAATAACATTATTGGGATGTGTGAAAATTGAAGACAATCGGACTCTTACATCACATTTTATAAGAGTTGTAATTATTCAAAATTTTGACCCTTTGTGGGGGAGGTACGTGATGGAGTGGACGGATATTGTCCACCTGACCTAGCACTGACGCAAATATTAGGTTTCACAAAGTTGGAGCAAAATTGGATTATCCTTTCTCCTTCTGTGCAAAAAAAATGTTTTTAAAAATTTCGACCTTCTGTGTGGTAGGTATTAGAAGGAGTGAACCGATACATTCCATTTTCACACCAGACCTTGGGTTAATAAAATTATTGGGATGTATGAAATTTGAAGACATTCACACTCACAAGACATCACATTTTATAAGAGTTGTAATTATTTAAAATTTTGACCCCTTGTGGGGGAGGTACCTGATGGAGTGGACGTATTTTGTCTATTTTCGCACCTGACCTAGCACTGATGAAAATATTAGGATTCGCAAAATTGGAACAAAATCGGATTATCCTTTCTCTTTCTGTGCAATAAATTATTTTCTTTGAAAATTGTGACATTTTGTGTGGGAGGTACCAGGAGGAGTGAACCGATAGTGCCCTCCTCCGAACTCGATCTAAGTTTGACAATAATATCACGATGTACCAACTTTGGATCAAATCGGATACTCCCGTCGAGAGTTATCGTGCGCACAAGCCAGCTAGAAAGACAGACGGCCGGACATCGCTAGATCGACTCCAAATGTCCTAAAACGGATTTGGTCCAAAGAGACCTAGGGTCTAAAACCGTTTTTTCGACTTTGGCTGTATCAAATGATATATACCCTCTGTAGCCTTATGGCTGAGGGTATAAAAACTACGCCAAAAGCTCCTTGTTTAAAAAGTGCTTTAATGTTAAAAATGTTTTCTTTAAAATGACGTCAAGGACAAGGTTAAGGTTAGTCCTTAAAAATATATATTTTAATTCATGTCAAAAGCTCTGCCGATAGCCTTTAAAAATTTTATAAAAAAATGTACTTCAGCTTCCCTTAACAATATGATTTAAAAACAACGTCAAAGGTTCCTTAAAATATTGTTTAAAAATCCACTTCAAAGGTTCAGATGGACCTTCAACTTGTTTTTAAAATATTCTTAAAAAACACTTAATAATCCTTAAAAATTTTCGTTTCCCCTTCATAGCCCGTTAAAATATACTTCAAAAATCTATTTGATAGTCTTTCATATATTCTATAATTTCTTTTCTTTATATACTTTAAAAAATATCAGTCCACAAAAATCCGCTATATTCTTTAAAACTCTCCTTAATTGTCCTTAAAAATATTCTTTAAAAATCTACGCCAAAAACTGTAATAGTCCTTGAAATTTTCTTCAAGAGATCCATCCATAGCTCCTAAAAATATACTTTAAAAATCCAATACATAGTCATATAAATATCCACTTTACAGTCCTTAAAAGCATGCTTTAAAATTCCTTCTCAGAGTCTCCAAAAAAACTATTCATTTTCCTTAAAAATACTCTTTAAAAAACCATTTCGTAGACCTTAAAATTATTCTTAATATGCGTGTGCCAATTCTCAATGCTCTATCTTAAATATTGCGGTTTCTCTCAGGGTTTCAAGATATAAATCAACTTGGCTCAATCTTCATAGAATTTTATGCTGATTAAGAATTTATAACTTGTGCAGACTCCGAATAATATTATGAAGTATAGGATGACAAAATTAATATCCTGTTCTCCTTATGGTGGAGAGAATAAAACGTTGTCAATGCTTCGATTTAATTATTGTTTATAGCATACTTTGGGGCGCAAATTAAAAATAAAAAATACTGTGTTGTCACAACTGTTTAACAAAGGGAAACACATCGGGGTCCTGGCCAGCTTTCTTATATATTATTTTCCCCACCCTTTTTCTCTTTGTATGTCCCCATGTTTAAAAAATGTGTTATCCCCTTGTGGCTTCCCCCAAAAAAAAAACGGGAAATGTGTATATAAGCGCCCGAAAAACAATTTCAAATTTACACCTGATCGGAAATGGATAACTCACACAAGGACGAAATGACACAAACAACAAAAAAAAACTGATACAGCAAATAAACAATGGGGCATAAATAATGGATGGATGGAACGGATGTGCTCTGGCAACAACAAAAAAAAAACCGAAACGCAAAAAGTACACACACACACATATTGACAGGAGCCACCAAAGAAGATGGTGGCAACCAAAACGATAAAAATCAACACAACAACAACAGCAGCAGCAGCCCAAAAATGAAAAACATAACATAAAAGTTGAAAGGTCATACACATACTACATTAATTATTAAACACAACTACTAGCACATACATACAAACATATATACAAAGGCACGAACGAACGCACATACACACACATATATATGGATGTCAAAATTCATAGATGAAATGAAAGTGCCCAAAAAAGAAAAAACTAGGAAAGCAAACGCTCTCCACACAGAGCCTAAAGATTCAAGGAGGATAGTATATATGGCAGTTCGAGTCAAGAGATTTTGATAGAATGAATGGTTGGCATGGTGGCTGTGATACAATGCGCTGCAATGTGATGAAGATGAAGTAAGAAAACGAAACTTGTTAAAAACTGATGTTACGTTTTTGGAATGTAGCTATGTTTGGCCATAAAATGAATATTCATAAGATCATAAGAGTTCGAAAAAATGTGAAGAACTTTTCGGAATCCACTCACACAGATGTTACATTGTTGCGATTGGATGTTGATGTACATATTTGAGGGTGTGTGTGTGAATGAAGGAAAGTTTTTTTTCGGAAAATTGATTTCCCAAAAACAAAGCTTAAAATAGACCCAAAAATTAATATCAAATGGATAGGTGACGAAAAGATGACATGTGTGAAATTCATATGTGTATGAGTCAGGGTGGGAATACATAAAGCGCATATTTGCTGGCTTAAGTCATCGGCTGGTTTCTTCGTAGAAGGACAAAGGAGTTTTGGGTTGACTTAGTTCGATTTTGGCTCTAGGCTCCTTTGTTTATTTCCGAAGAAACCAGCCGATGACTTAAGTCAGTCAAATAAGCGCTTTATGTATTCCCACCTTCAGTTGAGACATTTTCAAATTGAGAGACAATGTATGTCATAAAGGGTAAAAATTATGTGTGATCTGAATAACGTATTCCTTCATTATCCTTCCAAACGATATATTTATTTCGAAATTCGACCACTTTATGAAAACTATACCCACCATGTTAGAAAGTGTTGACCTTTTTCGGGTAGGTACTGGAAGGATTTGATCTTTTTATCCCCTTATATGAACAGAAATGCTTAGATTTCCGAGGTTTTTCAGAAAAAACTTGCAGCACAAAAAATTATTACAGGAAGGACTTAGCAGATTTTGAAAGTAAACCCAAAATGA